TCCCCTTTTTATTCTTCTTGGACATTGGACCTACCTGCATCATTCATGACCATGAAGGGCCAATGCTTCATATCAGAGTGAGCAACAGCATCATCAGACCTACACCCAATCAGATGTTTGGTGTTTAAAACTATGTTGGTGGGGTTCATCACAACCCAGTTCTTCACAGCATCCCTGATTAATCACTCTGTCGGTAAAAGCAACACAGCTAGCCTGTTGTAGTTCAGTAACCCTGGTCAGTGACAATTCTACTTTTCCATGCCTGAAGACACCCGCACAGGAGTAGGTGGTGCTAAGATAATGCCAACTGCAGGTCCTTTAGACAGGTTTGCTTGCATGTAGGCCTAGCTAGGCTGGCAAAGAGACCACACCAACTCCAAAAGCTGTCCTGTTCAGTGAGTCTGTTTCATAAGTAGGACAGTTTAGAATACCACATTATAGTGCCAGTAATGTATTTATTTTTTGTTTTTTTCGAGGCAGGGTTTCTTTGTGTAGCTTTGGAGCCTGTCCTAGAACTAGCTCTGGAGACCAGGCTGGTTTTGAACTCACAGAGATCCACCTGCCTCTTCCTCCTGAGTGCTGGGATTAAAGGCGTGCACCACCACCACCCGGCTAATAAATAGTATTTTTTTAAATAGTATGATAATACATCTAAAATATCACACTTATAATTAATTTTCTAATACTATGTCTAGTGAGATTTTATTTTAAATTAACTGTTTATTACATACAATAAAATTTAGGGTTATAGTAGTTTTCAATAAGTCTTTCTTCAGACAGTAAATAAACAATGGCACAAACTGTGGAAAGCTAAAACTCACACTTAGGTCTGAGCTTTCACTAATAAAACAGAGGGTCCAATGTAGACTTCTGTTTCATAAGATACTGAAAAGCCCCTCAGAATACTGTATAAATGATTATAAGTACACTACGACAGTAGGTTATCTGTGTATTTCATGACTCTCTAGATTTCTACTATCATTGTGCTAATATAAACACTTTCTATGATTAGGGAATTTTGAGAGTTTGGAAAAGCAAAGCTTCACTAGCATAAAAGTACCAGTGTATGACAGTTTGTTGACCTGTTTGTGTCAGCAAGTACTCATGAAGTCTTATTAGTTTAATAACAGTTATATTTCATTTACTGTTGTTGCTTTAGCTTATGGATATGGGTATTTTGCTGGCATGTATGTCTGTGCACTGTGTGCATACTGAGTGCCTGCAGTCTTGGGTCCCCTGAACTGGAGTTAGAGATGGTTGTGAGCCCTCATGTGGCTGCTGGGAATTGAACCTTGGTCCTCTGGAAGAACAGCCAGTGCTCCTAACCACTGATCTATCTCTCCAGCCCCTCATTCATTATTATTTTTATTTACTTTGTCCAAATTATGCAGAATTTGGTGAGGAATCTTTTTTTTTTTTTTTTTTTTTTTTTTTTTTTTGGTTTTTCAAGACAGGGTTTCTCTATGTAGCTTTGCGCCTTTCCTGGATCTTGCTCAGGCTGGATCTAGACCAGGCTGGCCTCGAACTCACAGAGATCCACCTGGTTCTGCCTCCCGAGTGCTGGGATTAAAGGTGTGCACCACCACCACCTGGCTGGCGAGGAATCTTTTAAGTTGGTGTTTTGTTTGTTTGTTTTCTTCACGTTCACTTTCACTTTTTTTCTTCCCAGTGCAGGGATTTGCTTATGTTAGGCAAATACCATTGAACTGCAGCTCCAGAGTATAAAGTTTAAACATTTCAGCTAGTTTCTCTGGAACCCTGGATTCTCTTTAGATCAGTAGTTCTCAACCTGTGGGCCATGGCCCCCACAGGTGTCATAAGATATTTACATTAGGATTCATAACAGTAGCAAAACTACAGTTATAAAGTAGCAATAGAATAACTTTATGGTTGGGGGTCACCACAACATGAGGAACTGTATTAAAGGGTCGCAGCTTTAAGAAGGTTGAGAACCACTGCTCTAGATGGTAGTGACATGAAAAAAAAAATGTCTGGATATTCATGTCTTCATTTCTCTTCCACGTGCCTACAAAAAAGAGTGGGGGGAGGTATTAAAGTTATACTTATTTTTATATCTATTATTTTTTTAAGATTTTTTTTATGTGTGTGAATGTTTTTGCCTGCATTATGTGTATGTACCATGTGCTTGTCTAGTGGCTATGAAGGCCAAAAAGGGCATTGGGTCCCCAGAAACAAGTGATTGTGAATGCTGAGAACTGAACCTGGGTTTTATGCAAGATCAGCATTTGTTCTTAACCATTAAGCCATCTCTCCAGACTCTAATACTAATTCAGTACTTTAAAGTTCATTTTGTGCCGGGCGGTGGTGGCGCACGCCTTTAATCCCAGCACTCGGGAGGCAGAGCCAGGCGGATCTCTGTGAGTTCGAGGCCAGCCTGGGCTACCAAGTGAGTTCCAGGAAAGGCGCAAAGCTACACAGGGAAACCCTGTCTTGAAAAACCAAAAAAAAAAAAAAAAGTTCATTTTGTTTTATTCCTGTTTTCAGGATTTAAATTCTCTTTTCTAACAGTGATAAATTTAGCTCAGTTTATCTATTAGATTAACCTTCCTGTATGTAACCAATTTCCTGATTACTACTCTCCTCTTGACTAAGTTCAGATGCCTGCCTTGTTCTCAGGCTGAATTATGAAGAAAAAAAAGAGAGAGTGTTTTATTATTTTATGGCAAATGTTAAACTATCCAGATTGGCTCTACCTTTGGTTCATTTGAATCCTCTATTATTATTTATTTATTTATTTATTTATTTTTGGTTTTTCGAGACAGGGTTTCTCTGTGTAGCTTTGCGCCTTTCCTGGAACTCACTTGGTAGCCCAGGCTGGCCTCGAACTCACAGAGATCCACCTGGCTCTGCCTCCCGAGTGCTGGGATTAAAGGCGTGCGCCACCACCGCCCGGCATATTATTTATTTTTAATTTTAAAAAAAAAGGTAGTTTCATGTTGGTGGAAGCTCTCTATTATTGATGGTTTCTCTAGAACATGAACAGTTAATCATAAATGATTTAGTCAGGAGGAACACAACATAACCTTAATTCACTCACACAGACAAAGTTTATTTAAAATGTAAATTATAATTTGGTTAGTATTGCTTTTAATTTCTTTTCTGATGACACTTAGACTAGCCTAAAACTTTGCTCTTAAGCATGATGTTATTTTGCAGTCATGTTAGATGTGAATTTTGAATCATGAAAATTCTTCTCTCCTTTTAGGAAAAAAAGGGAACAAATATTAGACATTGTGTTAGTTTCTTTTCTATTTCTGTGATTACAGTGCCCTGACTAAAGCAACTTAATTGGCTTACAGTTCTGGGGTGGGGGTGGGGAGACAGTCCATCCATGGCAAGGCAAGCCTGATGGCGGGAGCTTGAGGTTACCCAGCAGTCAGGAAGCAGAGTAAGAACAAGATGTAAGGTTTGACTATAAAAGCACAAAGCCTCCTACCCTGTGACACATGTCTAACAAATCTCCACCCTCTAAACGTTTCATAGCCTTTCCAAATAGTGCCACCATCTGGGGACAAAGTGTTTAAACACATAATCTTGTAGGATACTTTTCACATTCAGACTCCAACAATGTCACACCTCCTAATCCTTCCCAAACAGTTCTACTCACTGGGGATCAAGCATTCAAATATATAAGCCCATTCTCATTCAAACCACCACATACATAATTTTGAAATATATAATTTGAAATGTTGCCCTTTTCAGCTCTGTGTTATGCTATCATATAATATTATTCTCTGTCCTTTCCATAAAACCTGTTCCCCCATCTCATGTCTCCAGTCCAGCTCATCTAAAAAAGAGTTGTTAATTATTGAAGTATTTATTGGCCTCTTCTCTAAAGGCATCTATAGGCCACTAATCAAGTCCTAACCCAGGTATTAAAAGGAGATTTGATTGAATTAATTCATGATGATCTTACGGATTTTTTTCCTAAGGTGTTCTTTTTTGGTTCAGTTTTAAACTTGGAGGTTCTTAGTTGATACATATGAGGAGCAAATAGTGTGTGCATTTGACTCTGGTAGAAGTTACCCGACTTTTCTTTTGGCTATAAATTGTCCATGGTTGGGGAGTATAAGGAAAGGATGTTTCTTCTCATTCTCTGCCTCTATTTGTAGAAACCCAGAACGTTCTTTGAGTATTTAAACCTGTTCTCAAGAGCTCTCAGAGTGCCTACTTCAATAGTGACCAAAGGGTTGCTTTTTATTGCCCTTTATACTGAAGTCTAGTCACCTGCCTAGGTGAGATTTGTCGTAGAAGGGAATAGGGTCCAACCTGGTGAGCTATAACCTTCATTCTCTACAAGGGAATCTTAGAGTTGTCTTGGCCTAAGGCAGATGCTACTCACACTGTCTCAGTACAGTAAACAATTATTGCTTGTCTATTGCTCCAGGTCTTGCCTGCTTGAATACAGAAGACCAAATTAGCAAAAAAAAGATATCTTAAAAACATTCTTGTGTAGGTTTTTTTTTTTGAAAAGGGCAAATTGCAGAAGTATTCTATAAGGGAAAACAAAGTTTTGTGAATACAGAAAAAAAGGGAATGAAATATTTTATCAATATCAAGTGTATTCTAGTCAAATAACTACTTCACCAGAAGTAAGTTTAGGTCCATTTTGTCGTTGCTTCCCATCTTTTCCCACCAAGCAGAACTTGTCCAGTCCAACACATTGTATCTTAAAAACTAATTTGGAACTAGCATCCTATACCATATTTTTGCTTATTTTAATACAAAGTGGTATGACTTATTACTCAGTAAAACTGGAACTTTTAAAGGTGTGTTGTTTATCAGATGACTCCGTGTCCTTCTGGCTTATAGGGTCTCTTATTCCTGTTTCTGCTCCAGGTTAGATAGAACTTCTAAGACTTTCTGCTGTTGATCCCTTGTGCCTAAGTTTTCAGGCACCATGGGTATATAAATGCATAAAATAAGTGTACAAATCAAAATTGATTGATAATAAATCATAATATTATTTTAAAATACTTTCTTGATATGTGTATATTTTGCCATGTTAATTAAAGATTAATATAAATTTGCATACTAATAAGATGTACCTGCTTATTTATTTTATATAGAAGTCTTGGTTGAATATGTGATACTGCAAAATATAGTGTTTTTCAACATTTTTCAGGGTTGACCAATATTTTTATTTTTACGATCATCAGGGTTGAGAATGCCACTTCACATAAGTACATTGTGTAAAATGGCAGAAATAGGCTTAGGTACATTTCAGATATTGTTGGAAATAATAATGTCCTAATACCAAGCCAAAATTCATTTAATAATTTTTTATGAAACTGAGATCATCAATTCACAGACATTCTTAAAATCAAACATTCTTAATAAAATACAAAGATACAGTATTCTTTTTTAAAGTTTTTAAAGTTTTTTTAAAATGTGTATATATGTGTTTGCATAAATTTATATACACCATGTGTGTGCAGGTGCCTAAGAAGGCCAGAAGAGGGCCTCTGAAATTGGAATTACAGATAATTATGAGCTACCTGATGTAGGTTCTGGGAACTGAACCTGGCCCCTTTGCTACATAGAGCAGCACACACTATTAACTGCTGAGCTATCTCTCCAGCCCCAAAGATGCTGTAATTTGATTCTTATGTACTGATAGGAAAATACTAAGTCTTATATATTTCTGTAAGAGCTGAAAACTTTTTAAGTACAGTTGTAAGTACATACTGTACATTATAACACATTAATATTGAATCTGAGCTGAAGTGTCTCAAGTAGCATTGGTTGACACTGGGTAGTATGACATTATGTGCAGTACATAATGTTCATATTGTATGTTCAGAACCAAGGCTGTAGTGAAGTTGTGTAATACAACACTGGACAAATATTGACAGTAATACCCGGTGTATTACACACATCTTTATTTCATAGCATTTTAAAAATCAGACATCTAGCATGCTTGAAGATTAGTGACAAATAAAAACAGGTTATTAATGAGTGGGTACCCTTAAGAACTCAACTTTTATCTAGTGTATTATTTGTATGCACTTAAACACAGTGTCTTTGCTACCAATTATTGGTCTCCTTCTTCAGGACTGAAACAAGCCATTTTATAGTCTTCTGCTTTAGTCTCCTCCCCCCCCCCCCATCCCTTCCTCTCTCGCCCTACCCTTGAGTTCTCTGAATGTATGACTCATCCTTAACGTGTAGGTCTTAAAAAGAACTTGTATCTTGATGTCAGCAAAATCTAGATTGAAATCCTGGCTCCAAGTTATTAATGTGCCATTGAGTAAAAAGTGCTTTAGTTTTCTGTGCCTCGGTTTCTTTATTCCTAAGAATTTAACAATCCCTACTTTGCAGTGTTTTTATAAATCTCCCGGATTTTTTATAATGATATCTGAAAGGTTGTGACTTAATTTCAAACTTTAATAAACATGTTTAGTAAGGATATAAGTACAGAAAGTCACAGAGAGAGAGAGAGAGAGAGAGGTCCATTAAGTGGTATTGCTTAAAATACTAATTCTGCAGTTACATGGCCATTTGGGAATGAAGTCTATTCCAAGTAACAAACTATCTTCCCTGGAGTTTGATTTTGATGCGAGCATGTTGCATGTCAGCAGTCAGCTAATGTGCTGGTAATTTGGTAGTTTGGAAAGATTCCTATATAATGAATATCTGCTTTCAGAGATGCTTGTGTACACTCTCCCCTGCTTTTGCATTTATGCTGTTGTCGTGTTTTAAGTAGACTTTCTCCTGACAGTGTGTGTTAATAACTGGAAAATTCCCTATCAGTAGACTAGCACCATCTTGACAAGCCTGTGTTCTGCTTCTACCTTGCTAATTGTTTCCTTGGGATTATTTGGATTGTGTAGAAAGCCCTTTGCAAATCCTCTTATTACTGAAGTCATTGTTGCCAGCAGGAATAAGATTAAAGGTGCTTAAGTCTGTAGAGTTGTTTCTAATTTGTTCATGTCATTTCATTGGCATTTTAACAGAACTCTGTCTCCTGTCCCTCCCTTCTCCCCTGGTACTATCTCAAGTTGGGTCCAAGATGCCAGACCATTGGAAGAAATCTCATTTTATCCTCCTAATTATTATGCTGGCACTCCGGAGATAATTTTTCCCTTCATGCACTGCCAATTAATATGCAAATAAGCTGATAAATATTTATATATTCATTTAAATTATGCAGGGAGTGCTTTCAGTGTATTCTGTAAATGAATTGTTCCTGGACTTCAAAGTGCTAGCTGCTGTGCTAACGAGGAGAGATTTGCATAAGGCCCTAATCACACGCATACTGATTAAGCTTCATTATGGAAACTGCCAGCTGCAATCTTTGTTTCTATTTTATTACAAAAAGGGGAACTTTTCATGCTTCAGTTGCCTTGACAATGTCAGTCCTAGCTGCTAGAAGAGACTAAAACTCCTCTGAGCAACTGAAGTTTCCTTATTCAGTTGAAGATTGCTATGGTGTAACTGAAGTTGTATTTTGCTTCTCTGTTAATTCACTTTCCACTCCTCCCACCCTTGTTCTCTTAAGAACCTAGTACAGATTTGTTAGAATAGTAGTACCTTCTTTTCCCCACCCCAAACGATACCTGTTCCTTCTTGCTTTGGATTGTCTGCACCTCCTGAAGATTTTACAGCAATGCTGGACTGCAGTGACTGTGTTCTAGGTGGGTACCAGCACAGTTTTCTTACAGGTTTAATATGGAAATAGCGTGTGTGGGATTGACTATGCATAAACGCTCAATCACATATGCAGCCATCATGGGGGAGGGGGGCTTGAGCAGAGGAGGAGGAAAGCATTTGCAAGGCAAGAGCATGCTTGAGTTTGCTGTAGGTCCCTCCCTAGGACTAGGTCTTCTAGTTCAGAGCCTATTTTCAGCAAATAATGTGTTTGAATTTGGCTTTCATGGAGGACATTTTTGCTTTTTGGAGATTTCTATAGAAAGTAGTATATGTAGTTGAAAACACATTTTAAATCAGAAAATATTTATATCAAAGTAATATATACATACTAATGAAATGTTTTGCTTATCTAATAAGAATGCCTCATAAAAACCAAAAATACTAAATGAAAAATTAAGGTGGTGTTGTAGTACAGATTAATACCGTTGCTATTATTACAGAGGGAAATTATAGTGGTTACTGCACTGTTGATCAGTTTCTAGATTTTAGAAGTTATGGGCCATTTTCAAATTTTGCCTATGATTAGTCATTTTGATTTTTTAAAACTAGCTCTTTTTTAGGAATCTGCACTTTTAAGTATTGTGGAAAGCCTGTTATATAGTGTGTCCCTACAGAGCAGGAAACCTTTTGAAAAGGGAGATGTTCTGCTTGAATAAATGAAACATTTTCGGTGATAAAAGATGGATTGAAGTACTTCGGTGTGGATAGATAGATGATGCCTCTTGGTGGCCATATTTTGCGAGTTTTTTATGTTTACATGAAGAAAGATTGAAGCCTTTTTAGGAAAGTCATCTGATATAAACTCCAAGAATTAAATATCTTAAGCTTAAAACTTTTGCAAATGATTTTATTTCCTGTGTCATTTTCCATTCTTGAAATTAAAGCAGTTGTTAATGATAAAGTAAATTGATACTTCCTGGAAATGTCTGAATTCTTATACAGAAAGAAGGGTCCAATGCAAGTAAGCAGTAATACTTGTCCATCAGAGTGAAGACTGCTAAACTAGCCCGGGTATATATGACGCAGGCCAAACATTGACGTTAGGTAGGAGTTCAGTGCAGTGGTAACTTTAGGCGTTCAATTAGACTCATTAGATGATCAACTAAGTGACATAGACTTGTGCTTTTTCTGTTACAAAAAAAAAAAAACCTGTGAGTATCAATGAATAATTTATTTGTATTTTCTCTTTTGCATGTACCAAGTTTAAAATTCAAGAAATGAAAGAAAAGTGTCGTTTTGAACTATTTTTACCATTCATTTTTAAATGTCAGAAACTATATCTACTACTTAGAGTTGACACTAAGTATTACTGAAACAGCCTTCTCATCATTGTGTAGCTAATTAGGATTTTATTTGTTGTGTTTTATGTTTGATAACATTTTGTTAAATGCTTTTGAAGATCTTGACAATAAATAGAAGGTCCTTAGAAAAGTCATGTAAAATACCTGTGACATAATTTTTAAATTTATATATAGGTGTGGAAATTAGGCTATGAATTATGTAAGGCTTGGTTCATGAGTTATTAAGAATTAGGCTTCTTGGTTACTGTGGTATCTGGACATGAGAATTATTAACTGTTTTTATACATGTTTACAGATTCATTTTTTTTCTACTTTGCTTTAAAATACATTATAAAGGAAGCATTGAGCGTGTATATAATGACATTTGAGTTTTGTGATATTGGTTAAATTTTGTAAGATTTTGGTTAAGTCGAACAGAAAGCTAATTTTTACTAAGTTGTACACCTGGTCCTTTCAAACTTTAGTGTGCTTTCAGGTGGTATTTAATTTTTTTTGGACAGTAGAGGAGGAAGTTGTAGAGCGACCTCATTTATGACCACAAACATAGAAATTTTAACCCTTTGAACAAGCCAGGAATACCATATAACCACCTCAGCCCAGAAGACATGTATCAGTTATAAAAATGTACTATATGAGAAAAGAGATTGCCTAGTGTCTTAAAAAAATACATATTGCCCATTTTCTAGGTTATAAAATATGAAAGAAAAATTTCTGATATCTTTCCTCATTTCTTATACATCTAGGTAATGCAACTATTGACAGCATGGTTGGGACTTAGAATGATTGTTTTGACTTCCTAATTAAAAATTTCCGAGTTGGGGATTTACCTCAGTGGTGGAGCACCAAGGCCCTGGGTTCGATCCTCAGCTCCAAAAAAAAAAAAAAAAAAAAAAAAAAATCCTGCAGATGTCTTTAAAAAGACAGTATAGTATAGTTTGATTCATTCTCTAATAATAACTTAGTTAATGGTTCTTAATGAGGGAGAAAAAGTAGAACTTACTTGACATTAAGCTTATTTCATGGCAGATACTCTAAGTCTGTAGTAAATATAGAGCAAAATGTCTGTTTTGTTTTTTCTGTTCACCCTCTGGAAAAACAAGTAGGACATAGGTGTTCCTGTCTTCTTTCTTGCATGTTTTCTGGAATTGCTAATAGTGGTTGACAGCATTTCACTGTGGAAACTACAGTTTAACACACTAAGAAGTAGTAGCCCCAATTAGCAGATTCATGGGTAACTGGGTTCTGTAGTTCTTACAGAACTATAGAGATTCCTGTTATGCCTTCTGCTGCAATTTGTTACGCTTGCTTTTAATGAGGCATGTATTTGGCAAACCCCTATGTTGACTCTAGTTTGGTTAAGGAAGTCAGATGGATGTTTCAGACAAGTTTCGTTTCATCTGTTAGATTAAGTGTGAATTTCTTTTAGTTATAATTAATATTTTTGCTTTTAGAAAAAAATCATATGGGAATAATAGTTTTTTTTTTAGGTGTTTGCTACTTCCCAGTTTGTTTTAAATGTATATTACATTTGTCTGTCATAAATTATTTTTAGCATGTCTGACTGTAATATCTTTTTCAGCTTAGATTTCTCTCTTTAAAGAATCTTAAAATTTGTTAGATAATTTACTTATGGGTTCCTTTATGATTCAGGAGCTCCTGACTATCTTTGAGGTAACCTTTTACTCAGTTTGTGTTGTTGTAGCCTGCCGTCCGCTGTGCATGGGCTTCTCGAAGTGAACCATGGTAATGTTGGTCAACCCTGGCTTTTGCTCTGCTTTTGGCTCCTGAGCTAGCTTCATCTTCACCACTACCTGTTTTAACTACCTTCTCCACCTCTGGCTTATTGTAGATTCAAGAATGAACAATCCGTCAGAAACCAATAAGTCATCTATGGAGAGTGGAGATGGCAGCACTGGTAAGGAAGCATTTTCTTATCCATCTTTTACATTAGCTCTCCGAGAGCTAACACAAGGGATTGTACACTTAACCTGGATACATACTTGACAGATACAGAGACATGTGTGTCCTTGCTTGTACAGTAGGACTTAGTACTTGTAGGGACTGGGATTCTGTTTGTTTAACATTATCTAACTCCTCTGAGGAGTGCTTCACTTACCTGATTCCATCCATCAGAAACTACAGAGTATTTATGGGAATGGTCCTTTGGGACAGGTAGACCTAGGTCTGGATTATGGATTTGACACTTAATAACTGTGTGGCTTTAGACAACTTCCTCCGTCTTTTTGAGACTTAATTTATTCAGTAGGGATATTTAAGGGTCATCATGAGTATTGAGTGAGAATATATGTCAAATGTTACAGCATCATATGAGCCAGAAGCTATTCTGTTAAGTCTTGGTTATAGCTATAATCAGAATAGTAGATGCTATCCACCATGTATTTGGTATAAATAAATTATACTAAAGTTACAATGGTGTCAGTGAAGAGTTATAGACACATCTAATACATCCTTTCATTTTAATAAAATTTATTCTTGATCAAACTTTTTATCAGGAGAAAACTAAGTATCATATAAATGAAAAAACTGAAAGCCCTTTGAAAGAAAGGTAAATTTATTTAAAAAAAAAAAAAAAGTACAACTTGTCTCCTCAGCCCATCCTTGTAAGTCTATCAGCTCATAGGACATTTGACAATATAACTCTGTCATCTGACAGATATGATACAAGGATTCCCCAGTTTCTGGTAGAGGCAAAATGTAAAAGTATTGAAACATTAAGGGAATTGTGGGCAAGGAGTTGTAGAAAGTCATTGTTGGTAAAGTAAAATAGGTTTTTCACGTAAGAGAGAGGGTTTCCTCTATTATTTCAAAATATGCCTAACTACTCCAGGAGGTGGTAAGAATGACAGTCACTCTGGAAACTTTGTTTCCACTGCTTCCAATCATAGATAGAACCTTTTTGTTACAGTAGGAGACTGGATTGACCCAAAAGAAGTCTTGTGTCTGCACCTGTCTCATTGTAAACTGCCCTGTACTTGGAGTGGTTTGTTAACCTCTTCACCTCTGAAAAATAGGTACTTCTCTATGGGAGACTGAGCTGGGGTTTTCATGTTGTCTTTGTCATATTTAATATGCTCCCGCTTCTCTTGTTGAGGCTAGCCAAATAGACTGCCCAAGACGAGGAAGAGCAGCATCGCTTTCTGGCCAAGTTACCACCCAGCCTCCTTGTTTCGGTTCCCAGTTTGGGCCCCTTCCTCCTTTATCTTGTAGCACTAACTTATGCTGATGTGAGTGTCATTGCCAAAGGAGTGGGACTTGTTTGTGGAGAGTAAGTAGGCAGTCAGACCTATGAAGAGGCAAGAGAAATGTGGGTAAAACTCCTATACCTAAAGAATAACTTCCAGATTTCTCTAAGGGATGAGAAATAAGCTCAGAATGATTACAGAATGCTGAAAAGATCCACTATGTCAGACCCCTGGGAATCTCTAAATTTACTTTTAATACCACAATTCCTATCTATTTATTTACGACCTTTGTTGTGCTTTTTAAAATCTTTATTGCTGTGCATATTACCTGATTCCAATTAAATTCTTATGCCAGGTAGATATTATTTCAAGGAATAGGAAGTTGAAATATAAAACCAGAGAGGAAATAAAGGCAAGTTTAGGATTTTTCTCATCAACTATAATACATAAAATTGAAAATTTTAAGTAACACATTGTTTATGTTCAAACCTAAAGTCATTTATAGAACTATTTAAGATAAATTCTGGCTTGAGCACTTGTTGAACAATTTGTGAATTTCTTGCCTTGTGACAATATGGAATGTGTAACAGACTTCTTTTCCTAGAGCTGAAAATAATCAATTCACATGTTACTTTTTCATGTTTTGGTGTTGTTTATTTATTTTTGTAGAAACAATGTCTTATGTAGCTTATATCTCCTAGCTGGCCTGGAACACTTTATGTAAAAAACCAGGCTGGCCTTGAACCTCCCAGTGATCCTGGTGCCCTGCCTCAAGAGTACTGGGATCAAAGGAGTGTGACACACTCCCGAAAGATACTTTTAAAGGCCAGTAACACACTTTCCTAGACCTCTTTGCTTTTCCATCACTAGTAGTGGTGGTTATTAGTCTCTTTCCAAAGAAAGAAAAGTAATTGCTCTTCTGTAAGATCCCTGCTAATACAGTAACATCTAGCTAGATCAAATAGAGCTGGCTACCACCCTGTGAAGCATAGCAGCTCACTTCCTGTTTACCTACTGCAATCTGCACTACTTTCATAGACACAGATTGCTTCCATTTTTTGGACCCTTACATTCACTTCAGAATTGCACACTTCCTCAATTTCTCAATGTTAATTAAGGTCTGCTGCTATGTTCTTAGCACTCGCTGCTGGTGTAAATTTGTTAGTTTAGAAATACAGACATATATTCGAGTTCTCTTTTATATATTAGATTATCTTGTTTGGTACATTAAAAATATAATTACAGTTTGTTTTTTTTTTTTTAAAAGTGGAGTGTGATGGGTCATACCTATAAACCCAGCAGTTGGAAAACCAGGCGAGAGGATTGCCATGAGTTGGAGCCCAGTCTAGGCTACGCAACAAGACCTTGCCTCAAAGAAAGAAAAAGGCAAAGGCGGGCAGCATTTATGCCATGTTGATAAGGAAAGAAAATAATAGCTTATGTGGATGATTTTGTGCCTGTGTATCAGTCTTCATTTTAAAATATAATGAACCTACACACTGTTTTCTCTTTTTCACTGGTTTAGTAATTATGATTTTTTTTGTAGTTTGAGGGGGGAATTTCACATTTTAAAGAAAATAACCTGGAATATTATATAAAACCAAAGTCTGACACTTTATAGATTCAGGAAATTTGTGTTGATCGCTATTTCCTGAAATGTTCACAGCTATAATAATTTTGAATTAAAGGTTTTAAGGGTAATGAGAGGTGTAAAGTTCAGGCATATCTGACAACATTTTAAATAAATAAGCTTCATATGTTCACAGAAAATCTGTGGTTTGGATTTGTTCAGGTTTGCCTGTTTTATATGTAAAATGTTATAGTTGGTGTTATTAGATACAGTATAAACAGATGCGACTCTCAGTCTTCAGAGGCTTAGCCGAGGCAGACAGAAAACTGATTCTGGATAGATAATGGTGAGTTATCTCCATCAAGCATAGAGAAGCAACATAATGTTAATACATAATGGTATTTCTTTCTGTTTTGGTTTTTTGTTTGTTTGCTTAATTATTTGTTTATGCAGAATGTCATAGTGCACGCCCTTAGTCCCAGTACTTGGGAGGCAGAGGCAGGCAGGTCTGTGTGAATTCAAGGCCAGCCTGATCTACATAGTGAGTTCCAGAACAGCCAGGGCTACATAGAGAGACCCTGCCTCAAAAATAAATAAACAAATGAATAAATAAAGAAATTTTCAACTTTATTATTAAAAAAATAAGTTGCAAAGTAATAAACACCATACACCGAAGTTAACCTGACTCAAAAGACTACAACTCAGTGAACTTCTATACAATTAGATTATCCATCCATTCAGAATGGAAACTATGAAGTTTCACATTGGATTTTATACTTCAGTATCAAAGATATTTTTGTGCAGTATCCACTACCAAAACCAAAAAAAATCCATGTCAGAGTTAGAACTAGAAAGCAGTTAGCTTTGTATCCCTTTTCATAACTTGTATCCATTACCTCCACTCAGTCCTTCCTTATCCCCTGAGAGCCCTTCTTCTCTTTTCTACATGTTATACTGTACCCACATATACATTCATTTGCATATTACTGGCTGGATTCCACATATTAGGGGAATGATGATTTTTTTTCTTTCTGAGATTATGTGACCTCATTTTATAATACATTCAAAGCCCACCCATTTTCCTGCAAATTTTGTAATTACATTTTTCTTTAGAACTGAATAGTATTTCATTTTATAATTCAAATTTTCTTTAGCCGTTCATCTGTTGACAACTAGGTTGATTCCAATTCTTTGCTCTAGTGAATAAATCAGCAGTAAACATGGGGGTTGCAAATATCTCTATGAAAGGGTGTGGAGTTCTGGGTATGTGGCCAGGAATGAAATAGCAGGATTATATAGTAGTTCTATTTTTAATTATTTGAGAAATTTCCAAGCTGATTTCCACAATGGCTGTACTAATTTGGGTCTCCTCCACCAATAACCCTTTCTCACCACATCCTCTCCAATATTTGTCAGATTTATTGATGATAGCCATTCTCACTGGGGTAAGATGGTAGTTTAAATTTTCATTTCCCTGATGGCTAGGGACATTAAACAGTTTAAAAATAGTTATTGGCCGTTTGTGTCTTCTTTCTTTCTTTTCTTTCTTTCTTTCTTTCTTTCTTTCTTTCTTTCTTTCTTCCTTCCTTCCTTCCTTCCTTCCTTCCTTCCTTCCTTCCTTCCTTCCTTCCTTCCTTCCTTCCCTTTCTCTCTCTCTCTCTCTCTTTGTGTGTGTGTGTGTGTTTTGTTGTTGTTTGTTTGTTTGTTTGTTTTTTAGTTTTTCGAGACAGGGTTTCTCTGTGTAGTTTTGGTACCTGTTCTGGATCTCGCTCTGTAGACCAGGCTGACCTGGAACTCACAGAGATCCGCCTGACTCTGCCTCCCAGTGCTGGGATTAAAGGTGTGTACCACTACCGCCCAGTTTTGTGTTTCTTTCTTTAAGAAGTGTCTATTCAGTTCATTTACCCATTTGCTGATTGACTTTTGTAGTTCCTTGGTGTTTAACTTTTATGTACTTCTTTGTAAATTGTAGATATTAGCCCTTTGTTTGAAGTGTAATTGGTAATAATTCTCTGCCATTCTGTAGGCTATCTGTTTGCTCTGTTGGTTAAGTATTTCTTTGACGATTTTTAAATATGCTTATAGGCCAGGTAAAAAGAACCACCATTGAGGGAGAAAGTGTACAAATTAAAACAAGTGGAT